TTTCAATCATGTGGACAGAACACATTTATTACTTGGCAACACAGTAAAATGTAAATAAGGTTTAATGAAGAATGGTTCAAAATTCTCAAGAATTTATCTTTTCACAATGACAATAAAAGCAACAAATGACAGGAAAAAAGAGTCAAGAGAACTAATATTTAATAGCACTGGGTATGTGCCCAGTGATTCATCTGTCCATGAGAATGAGCTTCCCCATGTAACCTTCATAACAATCCTGAGACATAAAATCAGAGTAGTTAAGTAACCGAGTTTGGGCTCTCAGGAAGAATGTTGGAAAGGAAAATGCACATCTGGGGCTTTGACCCTGAAGCTCTATTCTTGTCACAGTGTGACAGAAGAGAATTCCTGGGGCCACTAGCCAGGGAAGCATCTGGAGATTCCCTCTGTTGTGTTCTGTTGAAAGTAAGGACCCTTTTTCCCCCCAATAAACTGCATATTTACTCACCTAAATGCTAGAATCTAGTTTTTCTTCTTGGAGCCCACGTGAGGTCCCCCAATTCAAAGCTCTTAAGCTAGAAGAGTGAATGTGGCTGTTGGCTATGCTTGATAGCCATCTCGGGTCTTTTTTTTTTTATTTTCATTATTAGATTAGAAGCTTTTATGTTCAAAGAACTAAAGGCTCGTGTGTTCTTAATAGCACACATTCATCTAAGCATGGAATTAGATTTTAGAATCAGAAAAATCTTATATCAGAACTAGAAGAGATTGGAGTAGTGATCGAGTTCCACAAGTACTTTTATTCCACAGCAATTCCGAGAACTAGGAAGATTAGACACTGAACCTAAGACGGGGGACAAGGCTTACTGGAGGCCATAGAGTCATCGTGTTAAGAACCCCAGCCTGTAATTCTCCTTTCAAAGCATTCATTGGGTTAAAGACTAAAACAACAGAAGGAAAGCCTATGGTCTGCACAGGGCTGAGAAAAGTGGCACACGCACATTGTTGAGGCTCTTCCCAGGAGTACCAGGGGATTGAGGATAGGGTCATCCTTTCATTCTCCTGATAACCTGCACCATGGGTGAGATTTTTATTTTGCAAGTGGGAAATCAGGCTCTGAGTGGTTTGATAACCAGCCCAAGGTCACACAGATGGGCAAGCATCGGTGATCATTTCTCTATTTCTCCGAGGCAGCATAGAAGGAAAGTCAGAGAACAACACCCAGGTTATGTTTAGCTGGTGCCTTTCCAGGGAGGAAAATTGAACTGGTTAGTGCATATGCTCTGGTCTAGATGAAATATCCCTTAGGATTTCTGCCTCCCCAGATCTTCTGTGGTCCCATCCAATTCCTCTGACTAGCTATCCTGGTCTCCTTGTATCCTGATTACTGGAGAAGACACAATCAGGATGACAGACACAGGACACTCCATCACATATCTACCAACTGTCTGAACCGGCTGGTGTTTTGTGATGATTGATTTCTGGTCTTTACCATAAATACTGGGCCTTGTTCACATAAACCATTTCAATGGCTGGACCAATAATCATTGAATACTTAATTTATGGTGCACAATTATGTATATTATTTCCTTTAGCTTCATCACAACTCGGTGACAGGTTAGGGAGACTGAGGCCCAGTGAGTTTATGTATTTGTTTTAGATGGTTTACCTAACAAATGACTGAGCCATGATTTAACATGAAGCGTGTCTGAATCTAAAGACTATTCTCTTTGCATAGCACCAGGTTTTCTCATGAATATCTTTATCTTATTCCCGCACCGGGGGCTAGGAAAGTGCGAAAGCCTTCAGCACCTGTGAAGGTGGGGAAGCTCGCGCCAGACAGGCTGGCGGACTTGTGGAAGAGCGCTGGCTCTCTGGGGTGAGGCTGCTGTTGTCATCGGCGTCAGGTCTCCTGACTGTCCGTCTAGAGGACACTTTCTCCCAGACCATATTGCCATTCCCATCAGACCATGTAATTTCTTTTTTTGATTGGGACATGGAGCCAGCAGCCAACAAAAGATCACAATCTGTCTGCCTGAAGTCTCTCTGTGTTATGAGATGAGTTGGAAAAAAATATATTTCAAAGAGGAACCAGGTTAAATCACCTTTGCGTGTGTTGAATCAGCCTGAGCTTCGCTGACACAATTCCAGTTACCTCTTTTCAGCCTCTGGATGGCAGAAAAAGGTAGGGTGGCTCCAATAGTCGCATGGCCTCTTTTTAACCTTGACTTCTTACAGTCACTAGTGCCTGTCCCCATTGCCACCCCCATCCACTCGTTACCAAGGCCATTCAGGTTAATTAAATATCCCACAGCACCATCCTGGACTCCCTCCCTAGGGATCATTCTTACAGCCTCTTGAGGCAGTCAAACAGTACTTGGGGCCCAAATGGGTTTCCACACTTACTCAAAGTCCTTCTATTGCTCTCCATTGTCTTCATATTCAGTCCGAATGCCTTAAAGTCTGCATAAACTGATCTCTTATGTCTGAAGTCCTTTGACTGTCTCGGGCCACTTACAGCACCTGATGTGCACCTTCTTCTCCTCTCTTGACTTCAAGGCTTCCCTAGAAACCTATCCCCAGCCACACTGGACAAGTTTCTACTCAGTCTTAAAACTCAGCTGAAGGCCGGGGGGATAGCTCAGCAGAAGAAGTGCTGGCGTGGCAAGCCCAACTTCCTGTATTCAATCCGTGGTACCACCAAAACCCCCCAAAAACAACAACAAAACTCAGCTGAGCTATCTATTCTTGAAGAAGCTTTGCCTGATTCCCAGAAGTATTTTCAAATTCTCTGTCACCTGCATGTAAAGACACTCCTGTCATTGTTCCATTTCCTGTGCTTAGAACGTTACTTGCTCTATGGTAGGCATCCAACATGTACTTGTTAAATTCAAGTATCCCATAGGCTTTTAAGAGTCCTATGCCACAGAACTTGTCACATGTACTTCAGTTGTCTCCTTCCCCTCTTCCTTTTCATGCTGAATTAAAGCCCTGTGAGTCAAGCATCGTGCCTTCTTATTTTACCCTAGGTGCTTTGTACGATTCCTGGAACAGCAACCTAATGATGCGTTACTTTGGATTAAAGGCAACTGAATATTGAGGGCCAGAAACCCTGGGGTTGACCCAAGGGAGGGATCATTTACTAAAAACATATTTATTTCTTTCTTTCACAAAAGCACATTAGAACTGCTAAGAAAGGGCAGGCAAGTCCATAAACTTGGATAACATAAAACAATGAAAAGCTAAGTACAGGCTTCCTCCAGAGGGAGCCATTCCTCACCGTGGATTGGGTTGTTGGATTCCCTTTGGTGCACAAATTCAAATTTCTCTTCCAGGAAAATCTTTCTCTCTCTTTTTTTTTTTTTTTTTTTTTCTCTCTCTTTTTTTTTTTTTTTTTTTTTTTTTTTTTTTTTGCCATAGTGTTGTAGGAGGAAAGGGCAGGTATTATGTGTAATGTGACCCATGTAAGTATTAAGGAGTTAAATAATATTACTACACAGAGCATAAGCCATGAGCCACATATCACATGTGCCTAGGGAAGGAGTGGAATGGCACCTAGAGATGGCCAGGACTTTGGAAACCATGGGACCTCTGCCTCAGAGAAGACCCTATTCACTTGGTCTTACTGAAACAAGTAGGTATAAAGAAGAATCCAAGAGGACTCAGTTTTGGCAACTTAGGGAGGGGAATCTCAGTTCTTCCGATGGTCTGTCCAGTGCTCTACAGGAGCTGAAACTCTGCCCTAACCCCTGGCCTATCCCTGATGGGTCCCTCCAGGCCATCTTCCTGCCTCCTATGTTCCCAGAAAAGTAGCTAGGAACAACCACACTGCAATTGACCAGGTCATGTCATTCAAACAAAAGATGTTTTTCTACATAGTATAGAACAAACTCCATAAACACACACTAAGAGTTGCAGGAAGAGTCAAGGATCCCTTATTCTCCTGGAGAGGAAGAATTTGCATATGTTCTCAGCCTTCCAATCCCATTCTGAATCCAATGCCCCAGAATATCCAAGGACAATGCTATGCAGAGGGCATTCCATCCTCTTCCCTTTTCCTCCCTCAGATATAAATTTTCTTTGAGAAAAATAAGGTTTATAAAAGAAGAAATGGATTAATCTAAAAACAAAGGAATGAAGGTAGAATCTATCACAATCTGTCACAGGCTTGATATAGTGACTTTAAAATTAAAATCAACAGTCAGAAGGTAGAATTACTAAATAATCTCTTTAAAAATCAAGCAAGCTAAAAAGCAACCTATAATTTCATCATGGTGAGCTTAGGAGTTTTCAGAGAAATTTTATGAGAAAACTAAGAGGAAAAGCAATTTGTCAAAGAAAATACCAAGGCAGAATGACAGTTGTGCAGAGGAGGAGAGGGGAAAGGCAAGGAAGGGGAGGGAAGACAAGGGGAGAAAAAAGAAAGAAGGATAGGAAGAGGAGAGGAGGCAGTAAGAACAGTAGAGCGATGAGATAAGAAGTGGAGGGCAGCACAGGAGAGGAGAGGTACAAGAGGGGAAGAGGGAGAGGAAGAAAGAGAAAGGAAAATTGACAGCAAGAAGAGAAAATGAGAGAGCAAGGGCAGAAGAAGATAGAGGTGAAAAGATAAAATCCAGGATGCAGCTCCATAGTTTGAGCTAAAAGGAGGCATCAAGGATACCAAGCTCTTCCTCCTGGGGTGTCAGCCTGGCTGCTCACAGATCTCAAATAGCGGAAGGCTTGCTGCCTCTCGAGAAAGGGTAAGGGAGAAAAAGACAAGAGCAACAGAAATGATACGAGGTTATGGGTCCCAGGGGCCATGGATTCTTGGGACTTGGCAGCTGCTGTAGGAATGTTCACATATGAAGGTCATATGAAGGTCATGGGCAAATAGGACAAAACAGAGATGTCATTAGCAGAACAAGTTACCTCCATCCTTACCTCAGAGTTTGGACCTTTCTTAAGCAGGCACCTGATTCCTGACCTACCTAGTAAATGCTGCCAGGCTTGGGTACTCCTGGCTGAATCAGGGCTGGTTCAGGGCTGTGAACCTCTAAGGATACAGGCTTCTTCAGTGTAGGGCACTGCAGCTGTGGTGCCCCCAATGATGTAGCTGTAGAAGGAGACTTCTAGGGTGTAACAGTAGGAAGTATGGTCCAGAAGTCCACCAAGGAAGCGACGACCAGTTCCTGCTTTCACAGCATCCCGATTGAAGGATGTGCTAGACTTTGAAAGATAAAATAAGAAAAAAAAAAGTTATGTCTGGTCACCCATTGGCTACCAGATCTTGAGCAAATCTTACACCACTTCCAGGTCTGGGCTTCCTCATCTGAAAAATGGCTTATTAATCCAAATTTCAGGATCATGGTGGTGATCGAATAAACAACAGAATGAAAAGTGCTCAGCAGAATTCTTGGGGCACAGTTACTACCACTGGACAGCTAAGTGAGAACAGGTGGAACAGGGACAAACAGAGAGGGGACAAAACACAAATCTATTATGACGTTAATCAGGACTAAACTTTGTGTAGGGCTTTCAGTTTTATAGTATTGTGCACCATGAAGCAGTAGCATCTTACTTAGGCTTCAAGAGAACCCCTTGCAGCAGGGGTGTGATGTTTTACCTCTTTCTACCTCCCAGAGGTGAGGCAAGGAGGCGATGCAGATTGGAACCCAGGGCTAAGTGCCTCCAGACACCCTGAGCCTCCTCACTCCTGGGGAGGCAGCTGAGTTCATGCCCAACGTCACCAAATAGTAGGGGTGGAAGGGGTACTGCCAGCACTCATCAGAGGGAGGGGAAAGAGTGAACAGGTCAGGTTCTTCTCCTCTGTTCAGATTCGTGCTCCATTACCTCTTTTTTATATTAATTTTATTGAGAAAAAATTGCAATGAGACAGTTTCAGAACAGCTTGGTAGGAGAGTTACAACAACTGATACATTGCGTATTGTTGTCTTTGTAGTAGCCATTCATAGCTCAAGATGCAGACATGATATCCTGTCCAAACACTATTAGTACAAATCTTTCTTCTTATTGAATTAAGAGAAAGCGACTATATATCTATCCTAACAATGTTGTATATACAGATACAAAATTGTCCTTCATTTATATCTCCTTTTTATGTTTACTTTTGTCATAGATGGGTATTCTATTGCCATTCAAATATTGTGGGTGCATGAATTCAGCAAAGTATTCCAATATAGTCCAGTAGTCCACAATAGAAGTGGGTTATCCACAGGACTGGCAATGTCCAAATCTGTTGACTTGAGCCTTCCACAGCTCTGCATATTAACATGGCTTCACTTTCCATACCTCGTTTCTACACTTTTCTACTGGATGGATAAGACCAAGATAAAACAAGATGTGCAATAGTGGACAAGTGGTCTTATTTGCCATAGCCTCTGTTTCCTCACCAGTAAAGCACAGGAAATAATAACATCTCCTCCTTAGAGCTTGTGAGGATCAGTTCACTGGTGGATAGAATGGTAGTCTGCAAATCCCCAGGAATCCAAGTAAATGACTCTGGTTTTAGTAAGAGGATGTAGACCATATTTAGAAGGAAATTTGAGAAGGAAAGAAAATATCAAAGCATGAGAGTTGGGCACTGAGGGTCAGAGAAGAGATATGGATTGCAACTGAATAGGTGATCTTGATCTGCCCTTAGGCTCGTGGGGAGGCTGAAATGCTGCCACATCATTGGGCAAGCCCAGAAAAAAAGCTTCCAGGCTGTGGGTCTTCTGAAGTTCCTGGAAACCTCACCTTTGAGACCTGTGACCCACCTTCCAAGCCTGCTCTGAAATTTCAGTGGTTTCAGACAGATAGAGCTGGCCATGCGGTACAGCTGCAGTGCTGAACCTAACTTGAGGGTCATCACCGAAAGCTTCACCACCACTACCGTGGAGGTGCCTACAGAAATAAGCATGGGTACTTTTATCTTGTAGCTCATATAGGCAGCCAAATGCTTTCATTGTACCCATATGTGCTGGGTGACCTTGCACTAGATTCTCAATTTTTCTGACTCTTAAGTATCTCTTGGATGTGAAAAGAGGACTGGGTTAGGCAATCTCCAGTTCTTTTTCCTGGCCCTATAGTCAAAGATTCTGGGATTCACAGTACACCTTCCTGCAATGAGAAATTCATCATCTCTGCTAATGTCCTGCCTGAAGCAATGGGCAGGTGAGTTTTCAGCTCATCAATTTCAAAAATTGCTATGACCTCTGTGGGCTTCTCCTCCTCTGGCCTTGTGGAAATAACAAGGCTCAGAGATTTAGTAGCAAAACAAAGGAAAAGGTCCCCATACTGCAAGCTGATCCTCCTTCTTATGTTCTCTGCCACTTCCTTTCCAATATCTGTGCTAAAATTTTTCTAGCTCCCATGTCACAGCCTCTCCAGCCCTTCTTGCATGGGAGCAGGCAGTAAGAAGACAGTCTTTGAAGTTCGTTTAGGTCTTCACTGCCTGTGAGGCATTGTCATATCTATAACTACATATTTTCACCCAGGAAGTTTAAAATATGCATGCAGGGCAGAAAATTATCACCCACCAATTGCTGCTAAAGAAATTGAGGCTGAACAAGTCACAGACAATGAGAACAGTGGGCATATGGCACCTTGAGCAGATTCCTGAACTCATCCTTAAAGGACTGGGATACATGGAAACAGACATGTATTGGGTTGAGGGCTGGCCCAAGAATAGTGCTTGTGAGTTTCTTTTCCTTGTTAATACAGGAAGCAGACCCATTAAACAAATACCAGCCACTGGACAGATCAAAGGCTACCCATTTAGAGCCTCCCTCCCTGACTGGTGACTTGAGGGTGTGGCTATAGCTGGTTTGCCTCTGTCTTCCTCATCCACCCAAGACCTAGCCCAGGCTGGGTGTCTTGTGAAGGTCAATCCTAACTGAACTGAACCAGAAGAAAGGAAGAGGCACACAGTGTTGGGGCTGCTTGAGAGGGCTCTTGACTTACGTAGGAGAAGTCCTCAGCATTCTGGCACAGGAGCTTGGGGAAAATGGCCTGCCTTTGGAACCGTTCCTCGTCCTCAAAGATGTTGCCATACATGAAGCCATTCATCATGGTGGAGTGGGCATGGATGTCAATGTAGAACTCTAGGCTTGTTTTCTGTTGAGGGAAGGGTTAATAAATGAGGAGCCTGTGGCCACAGCACACGCCTTAAAGGAACCAAACACTGTACACACATACCCTTTCAAGCTGGCTGTTTGTGCTGGCAGATTTGTCAGATACTCGTAACATGATTGGAGGGGCTGAGACAGTGAGGATCACTGTCCTCAGGCTCAGAAGCACCAACATTGGTGTCACTTTTTATAGGTCTGCTGAAGAGATGAGGCTGCTGCTGGGTTAACTAGTGCTGTTGCTTGCTCAGAACCGTTAATGTATCCGTGGTTGGATACATGCATATTCACCTTACTGGAATTTATTCTGCTGGTTAATGAGAACTATCTTTCAGGTAACATAATTCTATTTATGTGGACCTACATACAGTTGGGCTGTAACTCACCATTTCTAGCTGGGGAACCTGTTGTAAATCATGATCCCACTTTAAGCCTCAGATTAAAAAAACGTATTTCGTACAGGGTATGCAGAGTCTACAGGGTCTCACTTCGTAGATCAGACTTGTAATTCTCCTGTTTTCAGCCTCTTAATAAGTGCTGGGATTATAGGCATGCACCATCACGCCCAGTCTCAATCATTGTCTCAGTGCGTCCTGGAGGCGGGGCCGGCACAGAATGCCAGGGATCAAACCCTGGTCCCTGTGTCTGCCTAAGCAGGCGCTTTAGTCCACTGAGCTATCTGGCTGGCCCTACCTCTCAGATTTTGTATCCGAAAAATGGTATCTTTATTCCAACTTCAGAGAGTTATGTGAATCAAAAACAGTAAAAATACTATCATTTTTCTTAATACTTACTATCATTTCATGCAATTCTAATGCATGCCAGGCACTGACTGAGGAGCTTCATTTTAGAAGGTTTTAGTTAATTCTTTTATTTAACCTTGCTTCATGATGCCACACCTACTCCTCAACAATATATAGCTTATTCATGGGGAGCCTTTGTCATCTATAAATGAGGTCAACTACCTTTTCTACTTTCCACTTACACATATTGAAGTCATTTCCTAGTTTGACACAGTGTTATTTGCTAACTTTCCTTAAAGATAGGAGAAATGGCTATCATGAGCTCAGTGCCCTAAGTTAAGGATGCTCAGTAACTGGATGCAAAGCGACTGAACAAATGTCCCCAAAGACATCACTCCAGACACCAGAACGGACTGGCAGAAGTCAGAGGACTTTTAGGGGCCTGATCTTCAATATCCTTCACACAATGTCCTCTTTCCACACACCACTACATACCAGCCCAATATTTATCTATTAATTCTTTCTGAGAGTTTCAGAGGAGCCACATGGAAGGGACTCGCTTACACTCAAGGAATAATTGGGACTGATACCCAGGCTCGCTGATGCCCCTGGAACATTACCATGTCCCCTTCAGTGGCCAACACCAGCTACAGCGAAGGCAAACCTAGCCACCTCCCCATCTGCTTTCTGGTACACAGTCCTGGGAAAGAAGAATATCCCATGTTTAGAAGGATTTTCTCTCCTTGGGACACTTCCAAGCAAAGTTAAACGCAAATGAAAACCATGTTGCTTCTAGAATGTGGACTTGATGACTGTCATTTCATTTGCCTCTGAGTTGAAGTAAAAAATTATGTCTTGCCGAGCTCCCAGTTCTCTGGATAGCATAAGCGGTCTTTTGAGAGGTACAAGATGCACTGCTCTGTGTGATATTAAACTCATCATTTTCAGCTTTGGAGGAGGAATACACAGTGATTCAACAGGAGCCAAATAAAAGTCATCTTTGCAATTTTATTTTCTTCAATTGTCTGTCTTTTCCTCTGAGCTTTTAATGGGCTGCACAGGAAAGGAGGAGGTAGAAAGATGACTTAGAAGTTGCTTGAGGAAAACAGCAATTTAGGTATCTTGATGTCAGGAGTAGGAGAGAGGAAAGAGCTGCTGGAAATCAGTTTCTCTGACCCTGCTCAGCTCAGCACTGAGTGGGGATGTTGCTCGGTTAGGGCTGCCCAGTAAGCTGTCGGAGGAGCAAAAATCAGAACTGGGCTCTTCTGGTCATCATTTGGACATGACACCTCTGAGCAAATAAGAACTCATTTTCAATAACCAGAAGGTGAACTATGATTGAATGATTTGTACATCTCAAAAGTGAAAAGATAGGCAATAATTCACAGTAAAAAAAAAAAATCCCCTCCAATTTATCTTCCAGTCCACCAATTTTTGCTGTCCAGAGGTCACCAATGTTATGTGGTTGGGCTTATCTGTTTGTGTATACGCATGCACAAGTAAATTTTGCCTCCACTCCCAGGGCTCCAAACACACATTCAGGCTACTTTTCTTTCTGGATACAACTTGGAGGTGATTCTCAGGAAACAGTCACTTTGTTCTTTGAACTACTATTATAGTTTAATGTCTAGATGCCTCACAAAAGCCTTACACATGGGGCTTTGGGGAGGTGACTGTGCTATGGGGTGCTACTGCTATCTTGCAGTTAGGAGCTGCCCTAGGTAAAGACAGATCACTGGTATCATAAGCTGGAAGGACACACTGTACCTACCTTCCCAACAGCTCACATTTTTCTCTGCTTCCTGGCCACCATGATGTCAGTGGGTCTTCTCTGCCCTGGCCCTTTGCTATGCTATCTCTTCTTAAGCCTACCAAATATGGGCTGAAACACAAGAATTCTGAGCCAAATTAAACTTCTCCTTTCAGTTGCAAGTGTTAGGTATTTTTTCCCAGCTACTAGAAAACTGATGAAGCCAACTACCACCTATAAACTAACCAGTTTCCTATAGACAGATGTTCAAAATATCTCCATTTTTTCTGTTACAAGATTTTATTGAC